AGATCACGTTAAACCCTGGTCCATATCTTTCCATAACACGTGAACACTAAGGATACTGTGTGCGGTGTTGTTTTGGAAACGTAATATACGTAGATCACAGTATACATGTACTATATGTTGATTTGCTGTACGTAGAAACGCTAAGCACACCGCAGCGCAGCGGAGGTGGTCAGCCCGCACTACACCAACCGACCATGCCCTAGCGTCCGCGGAGCGGACGCCCAGAGCGCTAGTTTACCGCCTCCTAACCTTCTAGCGTGTCCGTCCGTCTGTCAATAAGTCCGTCCGGTTCCTTTCTTGCTGCTTTTTTCTGCCTTTCCGCATGGCTACACTCGGCCTGTCTTATACAGTTTCCTCCCATCCTACCGACCGCGCCTATCTTTCTGACTCGACGTAACTATGCCTAAATTACAAATTTGGCCAAAAAGCGGACACAATTAACTCGCGCCCTGATTGGGCAATATTTTTCGACTCACTTTTCATTCAAAACAAAATTGGATTTTTGAGCGAGGGCGCGGAGAGGACAAGGTGCGCTGGCTGTATAATAGCAGTAGGGTAGTTTTAGATGTATATGCATGTATGTACGGGCGTGGGGCTCCTTGCCCTACTATATATTCAAGTGAGACCTCTCAGGATACAGTCTGAGGCTTACCCCGAGACTCCAAAGTGGTATGGCAGTTGGTAGCGATAGCAATCAGGTTGGGGTGGGTGTGACTGGGAGCGTCTACTACCATGCACGCGCCTAGGGGTCCTAGACCCACCGCGAGTGTCCACGCTCCAAAAGCGAGTGGCGCGTGCTACCAATTGGCCATACCGAAGTTGCAGCCACATGCGGAAGAGTCGTTACGGTCCCGCAATACAGAGGTGCTCTTAAAGTGTGAGCTCCCACATCAAAACACACTTTGCGAGAGCACTTCTGGCGGGACGGAAAGGAATGCAGCAGTCGGTCTCACAAGAGCAAGGAGCCCAAGACCAAGTGCAAGGATCAAGACAAAAAAACACTTTAAGAGCATGAGTGGGCCCCGCGCCTGTACACTTAGATAACATAGCGTTATAATAGACAGTTTTAGAGCATTTTCGGAACTGTGTGAGCCCCGTGAGGGGATGGGTCGTTCTCGGACACCCTGTGTATACTACTGACATGACCTGAAGGGCTGGACGGTATCCAACAGACCTGGGCAACCACTCAACAGGGCTGAGGCAACTGCTTTGACGTACCCAAGAGGCAACAGCGCGATGCGGCGTCTGAATTACCATATCGCAACCGTTCCGACACCCTACCCCTTTCCGACATGTTTCCGACAGTTCGGAACAGCAGATAGATTCAGGTACCAGACACCACATATACTATAAAACAAATATCTCTTTTTAAATTTAACGTTATAAATTATTGAAACTTTTACTTTAAAAAGAGTGGCATAGCGGTGGCAGCGAAGGATCGTTCGACGGCGCCAGTGCGTCATCCGGTTGATGGGTGAGCTAGTGCGGAGGGCGGCAGATACGGCGGCGACGGTGGCACTGGTGGCGGGTGAGCGGGTGTGAAGGACAGCAGCGGCAGGGCGGCGTGCTGGTGGCAGGTGAGAGCGCGGAGCGGCGACGTATACGGCGGCGGGCGAGCGAGCGTGAAGGGTAGCGACAACAGGGAGGCGTGCTGGTGGCGTGTGATCGAGTGTAGAGCGGGTGATCCTGGAGGGGACACCGGAGGACGAGACGGAGCAGGTGTTGATGCCCAACTTGTATGCACGCTCGGTGCGCGCCCTACAGCCATGGAGGCGGTGTCCGAGACTGTGGAAGATGCCGAGGTGAAGGCAGTGAAGGTGGACTGTCAAGTAAATGTACTAGAAATACCCGGCGCAGGCTTGGTGTCCGTACTGGTGCGTTGGTCGTACACATCACGTTGGTTAGTGTGGCCTTCTTCTGCTGCTTGGTGACTGGTGGTCCTGACCACGCAACAAGGCTGCGTCACACCCAGGCCTCTAGAATCACAATGAGAGGTTAGCAAAGACGCTATTTTAATAAAACAAATGCAGTCCATGTACATGTGTATCTAAGCTTACTAATAGTTTTTTTTTAGGCATGTTATTTTATCATTTTCCTAAACACGTACTTGAATACTTGCTCCTTCGAAGTAGGAATCCTACTGGAGGACCTTGTTGTCGGAATGACAAGAATATTTCAAAAATACTGAGTATTTGTATCCAGCCATAAATATTTTGGCTGCGCTTCCGACAAATATTTGTCGGAAGCTGTCGGAATAAGAGACCTACCCACATGGGATGCCATTGGCCAAAAG